TCTCCTGGACTCAGCTACCAAACCATGATTCATCTTTCAGAAGCTGGTTGATGGATATATGCTCCATTGACAATTCATAGACATCACAGGACATAATTCAGCTCACTACCTACATTCTATGGTGGCTCTAGAAGATGCGCAACCTTTACATTTTTCAAAATATCATCATGCCCATTCAGGTCACCTTGAAGGCTGCCCAAGATGATTGGTTGGATTTCATCCAATTGAAGACTTAATGTGTCTGTCTTTCTTCTTGGTTGCTGTGGTATTTTGTTCCTTTTGTTTTATGTTGTTTGTTTGGATGTTGTTAGCAGGAGTTTTTTCTCACCTCTAGGCCTCTGAATAGTGGATGGTGCTTATTATCTTGTTTTTTTAGTTTCCTTGTTGAGGTTCTAGGCCGCTTTAGGCGTGTCCTTTCAGTTTTCAATTAGGATTTGGCTTGTAACATTCGAACTTGGTTCGCTTTGAGTTATATAATATCTCAGACGTTTCGTTAAAAAAAAAAAAGATTGGAGATGGTTTTCTTGAAGATTGTTTGATGGGCTTCATTAAACGAGAGTTTATTTATAGTATAAGTATAGATTTTATTATTGATGAATTTTATTCTGTAAAAGCTCGCCAAGCACAACTTATTTGAAGAAAAAATTAATATTACGTGATTTTTATGAAAATGATTAAAGTTCTATCCCAATCTATTTTCTAGATCCGTCCCTGTGTATCATTCTAACGATCCTTATACAGGGATGAAAGTGCTCCTTTCTTTTTTTACGAAACGATAGAAGTTCTATAAATAATGAAACGAGGACAAAGTCCGAATACAGAGTCAAAGACCAAATGAAAACTGGGAGGATACGCCCAAGGCGCCCTAGAACAACATGACACTCCGAAATAAACATAAAACTCAGACAAAGGCCCTCCACTGCCATAAGGCCTAGAGGGTCAACTAAGCTACACCAAATTAAAATCCAAACAGAGTAACAGAACAAAGCCAACAACTGAGCAAAATAAAAACAAAACAGACAAACTACACTAGGCTAGCTAATGACCCAAAGAAGCAAATTCCAGCCCGTCTCTGTGTCTTGCTTAGACAACCAAATATGCAGGTAGAAGAACATTTTGAAAGGGCCACAAGTTTATGGATTTCCAGAGCCACCAAAGCATATACGTTGTTAATTGAATCCTTGCTTCAGCAATCTCTTTAGATCCCAAGTTGCAAATGTGGTTCCACCAGTATTTGAAAGAGAAGTCCCTTGACTGTATGCCTTCCCAATAGATAGGAGAGATCTACCACATTCTGATTGCTCTGGGACAGTGAAACAACAAATGGTCAATTGTTTCTGGTGATTCCCCACAGCTTTTACACAAAATATCAACGTCCAGTCCCTTCTTCATGAGGTTTGTTTTAACAGGAAGAGAATTTGTCAAACATTTCCAGATGTAATGCTTCACCTTGCCAGCTACATTAAAATTCCAATATCTGTTACCTGGATTTCTGTGTACAAGACCAGCAGATGAGCTACTGCAGGGGATATCAAGTGAGAGTAGCTTTTGCTGGGACAAGTAAGAGTAGGTACTGGCAACAGAAAATTTTCCTTTCTTGTCAAATTTCCAAAGTAACCTGTCCTTCTGATCCTTCCTGAGAGTATTGATTTTGAGAATTTCCTGGCTACCAGCATCATTGAAAACTTGGTTTACCAATCATGAGTTCCAGCTCATTCCTGAAGCATCTTCTTTAACCCAAATGAGATGTCCCGTTGCAATCTCTATCAGCTGAGGTTTAGCATTAGGAAGAGTTGGCACCCAATTGAGATCATCAATTCTGGTGGAGTGCCCATTTCTGATTTCCACAGCAAAGCCCTTTGCAAAGATTGGTAAAACTTTCATCCAGTTACTCCACAGCCAAGAACTGTTTTGTGGTTTGGCTGCATCAAAGAGTGAACAGTTTGGAAAATATTTGTCTTTCAGTAATCTACTAACCAACAGCTGAGGTTGTGTGCAGATTCTCCATAGTTTCTTGCAGATAAGTGATGTATTAAAGAGCTTGATGTCAATAAAACCAAGTCCACCAGATGCTTTGGGAAGAGTAAGGAAGTTCCAATTTTTCCAGTGGATACCTCTTGAGTGATCTTCCTTAGTACTCCACCAAAATGTAGCACAGATTTTAGAAATTTCAGCACATAAAGAAGCAGACAGTAAGAAGCATGACATAGAGAACACTGAGAGGGCTTGAAGAACAGCTTTTACCAAGATTTCTTTACCTGCTTGTGAAAGAAGTTTGGATTTCCAGCTGGAGATTCTTGATTTGACCGAGTCTAGGACATATTGAAAGGATTCAAATTTTAATCTCCCAATTCCGAGTGGAAGTCCTAGATACCTGGTGGATCTGTGAGTGGCAATGCCCTGCAGAGTTGTACAAATGCTCTCTTGGATAGGCTAAGGAGTGTTCTTACAGAAGAATACTGCTGATTTTTGAAGGTTCACCAGTTGCCCAGTAAAAAGCCTGTACTTTTCCAAGATATTTAACAGAGTTGCTGCTTGGCCAGCACTTCCCTTGTAAAAATCCTGTACGATGACTCCGTTCCTACGACCACAAACTTCACCATTCTCACCTTCCTGGTCATTCCTTTCCCCAAAGCAACGGATAGACTTACTTCTCCCATTGGCATCACCTCTCCTCCATTGAATCCATATAAAGCTGTGGCCACCGATTTCAGCTTGATATTCAGCTCCCTGTTGATCTACACAAAACAGTCATAAAACATTACATCGACCGAGCTCCCGTGTCAATGAACACCCTTTTCACATCAAAACCTGCCACCTCCGCCGTAATCACCAGTGCATCATTGTGAGGCAAGACCACTCCCTCAGCATCCTCAGCCCCCTTATATCCGGCATTCGAGCAGTAATCCCCACCTCCTCCCTCTTCCGCTTCATTGCTCGAACATGCCCTCTCCTCGCATTGATCGAGTCCCCATCAGTTGGTTCTCCAGAGATAATGTATATCGTCCCCCTCTTCATAAGGTCGAGATCCTCCTGTCCTCCTCGATCTCTGCTCCCCCTTCTTCTTTTGTCTTCGTTACCCCTTCTGCCACCTCGTTCCTCTCAGGCATCCTCCTCCTCATCATCATCCCTATCACTCCTCTCCATTGAATCCTCCCGACACCTCTTTTTCTCTTTCCCCTTCACCCTATCATGGTATACAAACTCCTTGAGATGCCATGCTCGAATAAGGCGCTCAATCTCATCCTTGAGGTTCCTGCAGTCCTCCATCATGTGGCCGCAATCCTTGTGAAACCGGCATTACCTCCTCGATTTAGGCTGTGTCGGCCCCTAAAACCTCGACCTAGGCCACGTCACATCTTTATCATGTATCTTCTTCTCAATGGCCACCAATACTTCTTCCATTTTCGCATTTAACAGTGTAAAAGTATGGATTCTTTTTCCCCTCGAAATAGGTCAGTCCTTCCACCTATCCTCACTTCCTCGATCAATTCGACCACGCCCTTCTCTCTGGGGCGATCTTCTCCTTGGTGACACCCTTTTAGGCGAGTTCACTCCTCCAACTTAGTGAACTCCGCCTCCGTCTCCTCGAGATTAATATACTTTTTTCACCTCTTCAGCACCTCCTCATAGGTATGAGTAGGAGTTTTAGCCAGAGATGTTCGACAAGGCCCTGCTCGTAAACTCCTTATCAATCCTCATGCCTTCACCTCGTCCGTAGCCGTTGGGATCTCCAAATAAGTTTTATTATATCGAGCAAGGTACTTGCGCAATGACTCCTTTTCCGCCTGCCTCATCGCCATCAAGGTCAAGTAAGTCTTTTCCTGAGCCACAACACACGAATATTGAGTTGTCAACTTCTCCGCAAAGTCCTCGAAATCCTTGATCGATCTTGGAGGGAGCTGCTGAAACCAATCAAGCGCACCTCCTCTCAAGGTCGATAGAAATGCCCTGCAACTAACAAAATCAGAATAACTTTAGTAATAATTATTTACTTATTAATTAATTAAATGCATAGTACACATGCAGTACATATATATATTGTGCAGTACATATGTGTATGTAGTACATATGTATAAATATATGTGCAGTACGTCTATATGTATATATTACCTTATTATTATTATTATTATTATTATTATATTATTATATATTTGTAGGGGGCGGATCAAATGAGAACAACTCTTAAAATGAGTACAACTCTTAAAATGAGGACAGTTTCTTGCAACTACAGACAACTAACCTTACAACTACAGACAAAGACAACTAACTTTGCAACTACAGATAATTAACCTTGCAACTACAGACAACTAACCTTGCAACTAGAGAAAACTAACATTGCAACTAGACAAAACTAACCTTGCAACTACAGATAACTAACCTTGCAACCAAAGACAACTAACCTTGCAACTAAAGACAACTAACCTTGCAAACTGAATACAACTAAACATTGCAAATAAAAACAACTAACCCTGCAACAAGATAGAAATAACTTTGCAACTAACCATGTCTCAATAACTTTGCAACATATTTACACTAACTTTGCATCACCATATTTACTTCATACACAATACATATTATGGTCAACGGGTCAACGCCGGAGTTAACACTAGAAGTCAACCGCAACGACGGAAGTCAACGATTTTCACGGAAAGTCAACTATTTTCGTCGAAAGTCAACGTCAGAAGTCAACAGTCAACGCATGAGTCAACAGTCAACGGTCAATGGTCAAAATAATATTTAAATAACTAAAATAAAAAAATTATTATTTAAATAAAGAGTTAAATCTTGGCCACATATCTTTATACCCTTTTAGTGGCTAGGATTGAGTCTAATGTCCTAATTTTAAGAATGTATTCTCATTGGAACAATCCATGTATATGTATATGCGTGCGAATTGACGGTTAAGTTACTCACCCGATCTTCGTCTTCTCACTTCTTTTTCTCTTTATTTTGTTCTCTTTAGCAAAAAATCTATTCGATTTTCCATGGAATTGTAGGGTGTTCTGGCTGAGATATTGGCAATGGCAATCGGGTCGCGATTCGGAGGTCGAGCTCGATCTCGGCAATGGCAATCGGCTCGGGTCGGGGCTAGGTGGTGGAGCTTGATCCCGTCTGAGACGAATTTGAGAGGCCCCGGTGGCGCTGTTGTGGTCAGGCTCGGCAGTGGTGAGGAGTCCATCCACGGTGAGATCTGAATGGGTGTGGTGATTTGAGGGCCCAATCTGGGTGATAGAAAGGTCGGCGATTGAGATCGAGCGGGGACGGTGCCGACCCAGGCTACAATTTGGAGGCCCGGGTTACGATTTGGGGGTGAGTTCAGCTGTGGAGTGAAGTCAACCTGAAGTGACGAACATGGATTTTCTATCTCGTATGGCTTGGCTCGGCGATTGTGAGATCGGGATTAGTGATGTCGGGCCCCGGTGATTGAGGTTAGAGACGTCGGGGTTCCGTCATGAAGATGTGGTCATTGATCCTTTCGAGCCCAAGGACGAGTACCATGATGGCCTCGAGAGATGGCGAGAGGTTAGGCGAGAAAGGGCTCAAGGTCGTGCTAGAAGGGTGTGCGCACGCACTAAGGCGCGCGTACCGACGGGACGTGGCAACCGAGCCACGAGACGAGCAAGCCTAGGCCGGGTGAAGAAGAGGTGCGCGACGGGAAGTGCTCATGAACATGAGGCTTGGGCCGACGACGAGAGTGAGAAGGTAGTGCCCGGGAAGGTGGGCGACTGGTGCAAGCCGTGCGCGAGAGAGCGTCGTGCACGGCGTATGCGGGCGAAGGCAGAAGGTGCACGAGGGGCGGATGTAGGGTGCACAACGTGCACTTGGGGCGGCTGCAATGAGGCGGACGCACGAGTGGTGATCGGGCATGAGCAGACCGCGATGGTTGGAGACACGCGCGAGGCGCTGGACGAGCACGGGCCATGGGTTGGGCCAGCGGGCGTGAGCGGCACGCGTGCGGATAGGCGGGGCACGACGTGCCAGGCGGGGTACGACGCGCCAGGCGTCGAGCGAGCGAGAGGATGATGCTGAAGGGTCGAGCGTGCGCGACACCCGCGCAAGTGAACGGGGACGCGCGAGACACGGCACGCGGACGGGCAACGCAGGCAATGAATGACGCGTGGGGAGGGAGCGCGCGCATTACCGCGCGCGACGAGGAATAGGCCTCACAGGCGGCGCGCGACATGGAAGGCGGCTAGGGTTTGGGCGTACGACGACTTGGCGAGCAAGCAAGAGATTTGGGACGTGATTTACTTAGCTTGATTAGGAGTCTTAGTTTGGTTAGGGGTTGGAATAAAAGGCATGTGCCTATTAGTATCCTATTAGTATTTTGTTTGTTAGGAAAGTCTTTATTGTCAAGATGTTTAGTTGCCTTAGGATTTATTTACTTGCATGAATTAGGAGTTCAATTTAGACTAGGACTAGATCTATTTGGTATCTATAAATACCCACCTATGTACCATTCGAAAATATGGTTTGATGAGTGAATAGAAAAGTCGAACGTTTTATTCAAAGTTCTCGTGTGTTTTCTCTCGTGAGTTTACATAGAGTTCGCGATTGGAATAGGACCAACATCCGAGTTTCATCACTGTGATTGGAATAGGACCAACATCCGAGTTTCGTCACACCTATCGCGAAGTACGAAGGCGTCGGCGCGCGTATTAGCAACCTATCGCAAAGGGACCAAGGTGTCGGCGCGGGTTTCTAGTGAATCGAGCTAGGAGTAACACACGATCCTTCATCATTCCGGCAAGGCAAGGTCGACATCAAATTGTGAGGTCGGGCCCCTGTGGCTAAGTGGTGTTCTGACTGTTTTGAGGTCGGCACCAACGGGGACTTCGGGTTGCGAGGCCATGGTGGCTGTTTTCAGCCCGGCAGTGATGGTGTGAGGTCGGCCCTGGCGTCATGAGGTCGGAGATTGGTATAGTGCTTGTAAAAGTGAAAGCTTTAAGTATAAGTGAGAGATTGTTAGTGTTATATACTAAAAGCTTGGTTTTAGATGATATTACACTTTTATCCTTTATGAATGAGAATCATGTTAGATTAAACAAGTTCTATGTCTGTTGTTTTGCACTTAGATAGAATGGTTCATCATCGGGCGAAAAGAAGATCATTCTATCAGTTACTTATGAAATAAGAATTGTGGTTCACAACCTCGATGGAAATGAACATCCCATCCGGACGGTTGTAGTGTCAACTGTACAATTGGTCTTGACTGATTAGTTGCACTAGGACATTTATGTATTGAACAGGATCCCAGAGAGGAGTAGTTCGTTTTATACTGATCGTCGTAAACAAACTAGGTCTCGGTTAATTACTACGTTCTCTTAACCCGTAAGATATTAAATCAGACATATATATGTTGTACATATTACTTTGATTCACTTGGGTGAGGTTCAGTTCGCTGGATCAATATTCTTACTATCTTGGGTAATATTGTTGTACGTTGATGTGCTGTTAGGATATTTACGGTCACCATGTACGTTTAGCTTGATGATGTCCCTGAAGTGAGTTCATGAAGGATTGTTATGCTAAACCCTGCAGGTGGATTAAGTTTCGGCATAATAATAATGTGATGAACGAGCGCTAGCTTCGGTGAAATAAATAATATATTAATTAATTCTCAGTAATCGAATTAATTAATAGACATTATATCTTAAACATGAGGAAGTAATTTGGGTAATTATAATTGGAGTCTCAAGTATAATTTGGGCTAGGAAAAGGGAGTGCAATAATATTACATTAGTGGACCATAATATTATTTAAGTAATTGGAAGAGTGGGCTTGTTCCACAGTTAGTCCATCACATAAGAAGCCTTATTCCTATTCTCCTAAAGATTTCTACTGTAGCTCTATATACATCATTAAGCTCATGAGAGAGATCCATATTCATAATTCACGTGTGAAACGCTGCCCATCATCTATCTCTCTCTAGATCTCATTCGAGTTTTATCTTCGTCTCGTTGCTCCACTGGTACGAGTTGAAGTGGTGTATGAGTGATACAGTAGAAGATCCCGAAGGTAATTGAGACCCCGTGATCATCTACAGGAGTTAACGAACCACGACCCGAAGGCCGCAATCCGCCAACCTGACCCGCTGGAGCCGACGCCGCGACCTGCCGAACGTGACGACCCGACCGCCACCTTGAACCGCGCGACACGACGTCCTGGCGATTTGCACGCCCACGCGACATGGCTGCGATCCCGACCTGGTCGATCCTCTTCCGTTCGGTGTTGTTCCTGGTCATCTCGAATCAGACAGATTCAAAAAATTTTAAGCCGTAAGTTTTCTATGTCAAACCTTTAGATCCGCTGCGTATCGGTTTACGTTTGCTATTGAATTCGTAACTTGTACATAACGAGATACTCATGGATCTCAACATCTAGATCTGTTGCGCTTAAGATTAATTTGTAAATAAATTCAAACGTGTGCAATCTCGACGTTCTTCAACAAATCCAAAAAAGTGGTACCAGAGCCACGGCTTAATTCATTTTTGTATGAAGTTTGAATTTTTAAGTCTTGTGTGATTAACGTGTGTACAAGTGCAACCATGTTTATGATTATGGTTAAATTGGTTTTGCAGAATTAATGAAATCCATTAATATGGCCCTTTGTTGCATGTTTAAATTTTTGCACGTTTATAAAGCCTCGGACATATCGAGGAATTTTCTGGGTTGATAAATGTTTTTAATAATTTTATTCGCATGGTGGGATACTGTATAGATTTATTGCTTTTCTAGAACGAGCATGTAAACCTATTCATGGGTCAAGGATCAATTATGTAAAATCGTATATTTGTTGATATTGGCAAAAGCGGACCACCCGAACAACCAAGGCAACTGGCGACCTCGACGACCCAACAACCCGGCTCGGCGATGATCCACTTGCACGCAGTTGCACATAGTCGTGCCAGGGCTGCCTGTAGCTTGTTGTCGGCGGTGCCAAGACGTGCAGGCAGAATGCTAGTAGGTGGCTGCGAGGGTGGCGACACGATAAAACGACCTAGGCAGATGGCCTCTGGCGATCGGGCAGCGAGCGTCGTGAACAGGGGTTGCGCTTGGCGTGCGACTCTGTCACAGACGCCTGCGCGCAATAGCATGCTGATGAAGATCGCGTTCCTTGATACTCGGTTTTGCTTCAAAGTATACGAAGACCGCCTCCTTCTCGGCGATAGGTTGCTTCAAAGGATGCTTGGACACCTTCTTCTCAGTGATAAGTGAGACAGCTCGGACGTGATATCCTTGCCAAACTCGAACTTATGACGAACTATGCACTGAAACGCCCTTTTCGACACAAGTATTTTGTGATAAAACTCAAGAATTCTAACGCGAGATTTTTTACAAATAGTCGGTTTTTAATTAATTCATTGCTTAATAAAAATAGATGAGTACATAGGCTTATTTATAGGAGAGAAATACTAGCCTGTGGAAAATAAAATACTAATCCTATATGGAATCAAATACCAATCTAATAGAAACTAAATATCTACACTAAGCAATTAAATATCTAATATCCTAAAACTTCTAAAATAAATATAATGACATGATTGGTATGAGGGAATGACATGGGAATATAATGATCATTCCTTTACTCATTTCTTATCCCATGATTGGTATATATTTTTTGAAATTAATGACTACTAGTACGACACCCGTGTACTACACAGGTTGTTTGAAAAAAACAAACTATAAAACATAAAAAAAATAGAAAAAACACATGTTGTCGTATAAAAGTGCAAAAATAGAAAATACCAAAGTCGATATTATTTCAAATTTTGAAAAATTTATTTGGACACAACATTAATAGTTTTATTTACAATTTTCCATCCTTGTTGCAACACATAATTTTCAAGCCTCTCCTACCTTTAACTCTAGATAATGCAACATACAGTTTACCATGACTGAATACAGGGTTAGACAAGTACAATCCGACGTTAGACAATGTCAGTCCTTGACTCTTATTAATAATCATTGCAAAACAAACCATAAGTGGGAATTGTCTTCGTTGAAACATGATAGGCAATCTCACATCAAAAGGAGTCAATAACATACGCGGAATAAGTACTTTGCTCCCAATATTCCTTCCCGATAGAACCTTAGCGCGATCT